TTTTTTTTTTTTTTTTTTTTTTTTTTTTTTTTTTTTTTTTTTTTTTTTTTTTTTTTTTTTTTTTTTGTCTCTTAGTGGCAATATACGTTTATGTTCAAATTTCACATCAACAATTTATGATATTATAAACTATATAACATAAGATATTTTTTATAAATTAAAGGGTTGAACTATGTTGTTACATATATTCTTTTTAATTCTTTTTATCATATTATTGAATTAAAAATAAGTTTGAATTTGCATAAGCGAGTTACACGTGGCATGACAGATTCGTTAATGGATACGAGATGTGGGCCCGCATGAAATGATTGTCCTGATGAAGAAACCCTAATTATATGGAGAGTGGGCCCACCATACAAAAAGCTAAATCGAATGAGTATTTCAATAATTATTAATTATTTTTTATTATTTTTCTCTTTTTTATTTTATTATTATTTATTTTTGTGGTGGTTTTCGTTTACCCAGTCTATTGGGAGTAATGTGTTGTCAGTTTGTGAGTAGAAGGATATGGGCCCAGATGGGCCCAATTACAATTTAAGTACAAATCTCCCCTGTAAGTGGAGAGTGGGGATAAGCCTCTTGTGATTTATTTGACACGTCAGATAATAATTATTTATTCAAAACCAAAGAGTCAGTTTTATGTGGTTTGGAAATTGGAAGTAATGTCTACGTGGCATCATAAGCCTATGCTTCAATTTTCTTGTTTCTCGAGCTCGAGTTGAGTATCGACATGACACCGTGTAAATATTTCTAGATACTTCAGTTAGCTTCAACTTCACGTACATATGTTCACCCACTAAGAGGAATAGGAGACCCACTTTTTTTTTCCATCTAAAGACAAAGACTCGGGCCCGTGGATGAACATTGTGAGCTTTGGCTCCGTGCATACGTTGACAAAGCACTTTCGAGTATACCCTTATAGCTTTCGAATGTGTCGTTTAGCTTCATAACCTTTTTCATTTCAATACTCACCTATCTCGAGAAGGTGGAGCATACTGTAAAGTCAACCAATATATAACATGTAATAATTAATAAGCATATAATGACTTTTAACAATAAGTATAGCATCTAATAAAGGTACCTTTTAATGGGTTATGGAATAATGTTTTTGATAATATTTTAATTGAATATTATTTAATTAAAAAAATTAAACTATGGCAAATATAATTATATTAAGTGCGCGCCCTTTGGAACATTGTTGGAGGCAAAGGCAAAAGGGACCATGACAACAGATTTAAAAACATTCAATTTCAATGTAATTCTCAATTTTGTCCCTAAAGTTTCATTAAATTGTATTTTGAATTATAGGTACGGGTAAAAATGGTAACATTTATTTAAAATTAGGGTTAAATTTAATAAAATTAAAAGTTTAAGGACCAAATTGATATAATCTAAAAAAATAAATTGTTAATGATTAGTTAATCTAATTATAATTCAGTGGATAAAAAACGCTTAATTTCGATAATATATATTTAATAATATAATTTATTCCGAATTTCTTGAATTATAAGCCAAATTGTTACGTGTCGTTTTTTAGTTTGTGTTAGTTTTATTTTATGTTTAATAAATTAGTTAATTTTGAATATTCTATTAGAATAAAAAATATTAAAAGTTGAGAGGTTTATTAAAAAGAAAATTAAGCATTTAAGAATTATAACTTAATTTTTTTTAGTTAAAATAAAATTTTAAAATAGTCTGTTTAAAAAAAAGGATTTTATAAATATAAAAAAGTATATTTTCTTCCTTGAAAATTATTTATTTATTAACCCATTTCAATAAAACAAAATTTAAATTTGGTTAAAAATACTAAATTTGGACCATTAAAATGAAAACGATTAAAACAATAATTTTATTTATTTATTATATTTTTCAGAGCCATTATTTAAAGAGTCTGGCGGGCACCCCACCGCGGGGCCCAGCAAGCCAGCACACAAATCCGACCTGGCATTAAGTTTCTTAGATTTATTTTTCTCTACACCCAAACCTACAGTATTCAAAATGTAGTCTCCTCCATGGCGTGGATTCTTCAGAAACATTTTATTCTTTGAATCGCAACCGTCCACGTGTTACCCTTATATTGACTTCGGAGGATATTGCTTGCATAGGATAAAGTCCTCGTTGCAGCCCTTCGCACCACGTAAACGTAATTTAATATTTAATTTAGGAAATTTGATTGGCGTTAAATGATTACTGGAGGAGCCCATCGACTGCTTCAAAGGCTTCATCTTAAACTTCTCCAATTTTGCGCTCATTTTTGGCGATCGATTCACTGAGATTTTCGGTGTTTGATTTGGATTCGACTACCTTTGAATCGTCCGTTTGGAGAAGAGCCTTTGCTTCGAGATTTGTTCGTTGAGGTAGCTCTTTTCTGTGTTGCTTCAGCTTTAGTTTTTGCTTTATCATTATTGATTGTGCGTCTGTTTTGTGCATTTGGCCCCTTTTTGCGCAAGATTCCTGGTTTTTTTTGGTTACTTTCGGTTGCAATGTTTGAAAAGCAAGTTTTCGGAAAGTCAATTACTAGTGGGAGGAGGTTGCTTCAGGAAGAGATTGAATTAAGTTTCTATCTGTGTTTGGATTTAAGAGCTCGAATGATTTAGAGGTATTTGTCTGATTCTTTACATTTTCTGTGCTTGAATGAATCTGAAACCTATTAAGAGAACGTGATTTGTTTTTTTTATTAAAGTAGGAACAATATTATATTATAGGTTCTCTGAATCTGGCCGACTTCTTGAGTAGAAGCAATCTCTCAAATGAAAGAGGGGAAAAAGGATTGTTGTTGGCTTTAATCGTGAACTTTGAGGATTTAGTAAAACCGTGTTTCCCTTCTCGGATACAGCTCGATTTTGTCTAGGTAGTTTTCTGAGTAGTGGTTATTGTTTTGATTTATCTATTTCCAATTCTGTGGGAGTTTCTACATAGATCGCCACGTGAACTGAATTTAGAAAATTTTATCATTGGCTGTTTGTCTTGATTATAACAATCTGGAAAATTGGCCAAATTCCTTGAAGAACCTTGAGATGATTTCCTCATTGTCATGGCTTGAATTAAGGTAAAGCCGTGTTATCTCTCTTCTTTTCTTCCTTCCTGAGCTTGCGGAATCCTTTGAATACATTCAAAACTTTGTCCTTTAGTCTATGCTACATTAGATGCGATGGGATTTGCTTGTTTGTTTCTTCCTTTTGTTAACATGTACAATCTTGCAGCAATTCTGTTTTTTGTCCTTTCGAAATTTGATCAATTTCTTCCTACTATTTTATGCTTAACAGGGAATAGCTGCTCTATTTCTCGTCCGAGACCTTGGAATCTGCATGTAATTAGCTTATATTTCTTTGGAGGAACTTGGTACTCATTGGTAAAGAAAATTAAACTCTCACATGTCTGTGGCATTTCCCCAACTCTCGTGGTGGTTGCGGAGTGGGAAGCATAAAGAACCTCAAAGCTCTAATGGTGGTTCTGCTTTAAATGCTTCACTAGATACAGCCAACCGGGAAACAGATACTCTAAAATTTTCTTTAGTTAATGGGGCCAACATATCATCCTCGTCTAGAAGGGTGAAACGGAAATGGCATAGTCGGGAAGAGAGGAAAATTGATAGGGAATATGACATTGTTCTTGTTCCATCTGATGGAGGGTGCATGTCAGGGTCTGAGTCTGATGACTCAGATTGGTCAATTGGATGGTCGGAACCCCATGGACCTGGATTCCAGAGCGATGATGACTCGGATAACAGTTTTGCAGTGCTGGTTCCATGTTATGCACGCATTTACAATGATTTTGTGGATGAAACTAAGATCAGTGTCCTAAGTGCTGTTGGGAACATCAGCGATAGCTTTTCTACTGGTAAGAGTTGTTTCTTCTCAAGCTTGCCTTTCGATTCGTGTTGCGTGTTAGTAATTGCTTTTGCCTCCCAAAATAATCTTCTAGTCCTCTTTCGTAAATAGTGAACTCAATAACTTCGTTCATTTCCTATGATAGCTTAATTTCATTGCCCACGATCGAACTTATAATGTAAATAATGTACATCAGGTCCGTATTCCAAACAAGAAAAAACTTTTATGTAATTTAATTGTTATCTCATATTCATAGACCCTTAATATTTTTAGGATGATTATACTATTTCCTTTTCTGAATCATGCTCGAGAGTCATTCTGAGACTTCATCTCTAAGAAATATTACTTGACTCATTCCCAATAGGATAATTATGCATTAGAAAGATATCGGCAAATCGAAGAACAACCGAAGGATCTATCTTTGTTTCCAAGAAAAGGGTGTCACCAGATCCTTGTTTGCATTTCTTGTAGCAGAGCTAACACAAATTTATGTACATTTATGTAGTAAAGTGATGAGTAAAGATCTCTTGAATGATTGCTACGATTTCTGGTGCAAGTAAAGAAACTCCAGACATGGAGGAGCCGTTAGTTAAAAGTGATTTTGATCATTGGAAACCAATCCAGTAGTTAAATCTATTCTCTATCTGTAAAACTGATTAAGCAAGTAGGCTTAGAGCTGATATAAGGACGAGTTTAGAATGATAGAATCAAACTCAACTTCTAGACTTCACCGAATTATATTCTAATTGCTTTTGGCCTCTGCAGCAATATTTACAGTTTCCTTGTTCTATTTTATTTCGTACTGACTTCATATGGTATGATTGTTCTCTGGCCAAATTGAATAATACTAAAATTAGTAGCGATATGTGTTAATTTCTTTTCGGTTGCTTTATGTTTCGTTGTAAGCTGATTATGTCTGCACTTTTCCATGAAGCAGAGAGCAAGAAATACATGGAACAGTGGCTGTCCTCTCTTCAGAACTGCTGATACACAGGATTTATAATGGTTGCACGCGGACGCTAATGCCTTGTTTCCAAGAAGAAAACAATTTGTGATCTTAAGCCATTTAAAAATTTAAAAAAAAAAAAGAAAAGAAAAAAAGAAAAAGATGATACAGGACTATCTATTCTGGCTTCGTTTGATTTACTGCTGGGAAGCAAATTGGATGAACAGATTGGATGCAACCAGTGGGTGAAGGTCTCATCTTTTCAAAAAAAAAATTGACCATGTTCTTAAGAAGAGAGAGGCCTAAATTATGACCTCATCTGTGTTGAAGCCTGTTAAAATGGGATGTAAATACTTTTAGAGACTCCTATATAAATATGGAAGGGAGACGAAGGCTGAGTCAACCAGCTGGGATTTGAAGAAAAAGAATATTAAGGAGTTGCAAGTGCAAATGTCTTGTTATTCTTTGAAGTTCAGTTCAGTTCAGTTCATGTATAAAGTGGGAAGGTGTTTAGTTTAGTTCATCTGAAAGTTGCTGTAAAAGTGACTCATTTATGTATGCATCATGTAAAAGTGGCCTTAGTTCATCTAAATATGGCTGTAAATGTTGACCCATTTGTAAAATTTGTTGTATAATGACACAGTTGTGCTGTCATGTAAATATTTCTCTCCCCATTCAATGTAATATTCTTTAGATATTTACAGCATTAAAGCCTATGAACACTACAAAGTTTCAGTGAATAATTGAACACTACAAAGTTTCAGTGAATAATTTATCTGTTAAATCTATTTAACATAGTAAAACTTAGACTCATATGTTTAAAGGCTATACTAGATTTAATTAGCCGGATAATAACAATCAAACTTGAAGAATATATTAGTTCTCATTTCTAAACTCTTAGTCGAGAATATATTTTTTTTCATTTTTAAACAGTTTAGTTGAGAATTCATGAAAAAAAAAAAAAAAAAAAAAAAAACTT